TGCAAACAGAGGCTTGGACACGAACATGGAAATGTATCTGGAATTTGGATGAAAAAAAGGAAAAAGGGGGCGGGTGTGCTCGGCATGATCGACCAAAAAAAACCCCCCTCAAATTATCAGGACGGACGGCATGGGTAAACAAAGGGACGGAAAAGGAGATACAAACTATGGGACAAAAAAGAGGAACAAGGAAACAAAAATATATACGAGGGCGACCTCTGAGATGGGGGGCGGCATGGGGAAAAACATATTGACAATGGTGTCTGGCATGTTACTGGTTCTGGGTCAAGTTACTTTCTATACCACTCGCGCGCACAAAGGCCTGTTATTTGGGTGATAGATAGTGGATGGTAGAGGGCGTCAGAAACATGGAGCCATCCTTTGACTCGAGCGCAATGCATGCATGCAAAGATAGTCTGATTCATTGTTTGCCTTTGCAGCTTGGCCGTCCAGGCCACAAGCTCCTTGCTCTTTGCTTGACTTGCTTGACTTCGCCTTTATATCGAAGATGCAGTAGTAGCCGCTGCCAGAGGTGGCTAGCCATCGACCCGTATAACGCGGTTCGAAACCCCAGATAAATGTACTGTCATGTGTGTACTGTATGTGGATGGCCAGACCAGAATACAGAGAGAACGAGAGGCCAGCGAGGCACATCGACCATGTGTGTTGAAAATAGTCTCAGTGCGTCTCTGCTTTCTCTCCCTCTCTCGTTCTCCCTCCGCCAATTCTTCTCTCGTCATTGACCCACTCACTCACTCACTCACTCTCACTCCACTCCATCATACATACACGCACCAAAAAGCTCCATCCACCTTTTCTTCCCGGCGCCTCGATCTCTGGCAGATATCCCTCTGGCGGCACTGTCTGTGTAGCATGGCGTACGTAGCAAACATGTCTTTTGTTTTTTTTCTCTTCCCTCTCTCTTTGTCCTTGTTTCTCTCTCTCTCTCTCTCTCTCTCTCTCTCTCTCTCTCTCTCTCTCTCTCTCTCTGTCTTTTCATAAATCGTTTCCTCGTTAAAAGAAAAAAAGAATATCTCGTCTATGCTGCGTGGGGGGGTATCATGTTGAAATGAGCTGCTTGGCTCTTCATGCGTGGGGTATCATGTTGAAATGAGATGCTTTTTTCTCTCCCGGTCGTTCTTTTTGTATCGTTCTTCAGTTTCCTGTTTGAAGAATCACCTTTTTACCCTCACGCCAACCCCCTGTGGTTTGTGTTGAATTAAACACGCCGGAAAAAAAAAAAAAAAAAAAAAAACTCCCGTCCTCCTCGTCGAGGTTAGGACGCATCCAAGTAGTTAAGCTGAGTTGATCATGCTTTGTGTCTTAGAAAAAACGCCAGTAAAAATAAGAACCAAAAATTCAAGGCAAATGAAAAAAAAAAAAAGAAATCAATAGACAACGCTCAGTTGGAGAGCACGTCTGCATCGGCCTTGGAGGGAGCTTTGGGTTGCTCCCCGTTCGCAAGGCCTTTCTCGACATCACCGAGTGATGCATCGCCGTTCGGTACGTCCTCAGTCCCGTTCTCGACAGAACTGGGTACAGTGTCTTCAATGACCAAGTCGAGATCCTTAGTCTCAAGACCCTCAAACACCTTGAAGATCTCCTTGTTTTGGTGGAAATCGTTGTTCACAATGTTGACGAGGTAGCATTCGTCTATGATCTTCTCGATCAGCTTTCTGCTTCCGGATCCCGCGGGATAGCATTTGGCCCAGTCTTGTCCGAGCCGGAAGGCTTCGTCTTTCCACGCCAGAAACGAGACTGTTTCCACGATAGTTGGCTGGACAATCTCACGGTTCGGGAAGATACCCCAGGTAACGGCGTTTGGACCTTCGTCTTTTGTGTTTGTGTACAACTCGCCTTTCCGGTTCACTGCGTAGTAGGTGAGATTCTTGTCGGCATTTAGTCGACCCATCACCGTCTTGAACATGGAAGGGAAGACAAGTAGTTCCAAGTATGCTTTCTGGTACACCCAGCCACCTGCAGGACCCCATCCGTAAATTGGATGCGTAGAGGACGCACCATCAACTGCTGGCTGAGAATTAATGGTCAAAAATCCACGCGTGTTTAACTGTAGCAGATCATCCTTGATGATGTCTGCCTCGGAAGAGATGGCACCTTCGCTCCATGGTAGTCGTTCCAAGTCACCTTGCAGAAAGCGTACAAAAAGACTTGTAACGTCGCGAAGAGATCTTGGTTTTCCCCATAGCTTGATGTTGGCTTCGTTTGTGCCCTTGAGCCCAATACCGTAGGCATCCAACTCCCCGAAAGCAGGAGATCTACTGTCGCCCCAACGACCATTGGGAAACTCGTCCCAGTCTGCGGTCCTGCTGATGTACGATGCATTGCGATTTCTCCAGAATATTGGCCTGACCGTCTCGTCCCGACGATTGAATCCTAGAGACTGCCGCCAGGGTAGTGGTTTCTCCAGTCGAGTTCCGGAAGTTTCAGGCGTCAAGGACAAGTCTTCCAACACCATGCGTGTGGCTTGCGCCAAATTCATGGTGTAAAAGTGAAGGTGTTGGATACCAAAGTCCAGGATTTTCCGGCACATGTCAGCGACCAGATCTTTTCCAATAGCTCTAACAGCAGCGTCGTCATTCTTGACCGGTTCCAAAGCCTCGAACCACTCAGGAGGAACGTGGCATTTCGTCCAATTGGCTCGTCTCACAAACGCAGCGTAGGTCTGAACAGGCATGATGCCAGGAAGTATAGGCACGGTGATTCCACGATCCCGACACTTCTTCACCCAGTTGAGAAAAATGTCGACATCGTAGAACATTTGTGTTATGACGAAACTAGCCCCAGCGTCAACCTTTTCCTTAAGATGGTCGATCAACACATCGACATCCCTTTGGTCGTCACAGCCTTCCGGGTAGCCAGCAACGCCGATATCAAAATGATCACCGTATCTCGTCTTGATGTATTTGACCAAATCTTTTGCGTAGCGGAAACCACCATCTTTCGCCTCCCACTTTTCTTGGTCTCTGGGCGGGTCACCACGGAGTGCCAGGATATTTGTACAGCCCGTCTTATACGCCCGGCGGAGAGCCTCGTCGACCTGATGTCGTTCCATGTCCGTGCAGGTCAAATGCATGCAAGTCTCTAATCCATAGTAATTCTGAGTGGCATTGACCATCTCCGAGGTCAACTGGGAATGCCTCCCACCTGCGCCCCAGGTGATGTCGATGAATGTCGGACCCAGATTGTGCATACGGTCCATTCGGTCGTACAGGTTCTGAACGCCCTGTGCCGTCTTAGGAGGGAAGAACTCGAAGGAGAAGGTCGGTTTCTTCTGCTGGTGAGCCAGCTCGAGTTTCTTGGAGACATGCATGTCGGAGGCTCGAGGGAGGAGAGGTAAAACGAGGGAAAAGCTGTAAGAAAAGCGACTGAAGTAAGAGAACGGGGAGATTCAGACAGTGTGGAAAGAGCGTTTGTTCACAGTGTACTCTCTGCTCCTGTGTGACCGAGTGCGTGGTCACGGTGTGGGACGATGATGTCCTCCTCCAACCCGAAGTCCAACTCAACCGAAATAACGGTTGCGAGCCCACCTATCGGCCAGCTCTCGCGGCATTGAGGGTCGGATCTTCAACAAAAAGGCACGAGTCTGTCGATTGGATTGAATATAGTAGAAAAAAAAGTGAGGAGAGTTGAGAGGTGAAATGGCCTAAAGTCAGTAATGAACTCACTCTTCGTAGACTTTTCGCAGCTCACCGCAACGCCCACGCCCACACCCATATCCACACCCACACCAATACCAACGCCAACTTCATCTCGTATCCACTTACGCACTCCGGAATCCTTTCGCGCCACGCCGAAAAACTGTTTTGGCGTGGAGGGATGAAAAAGTTTGCTCTTGGCAGGCACCGTTTCTGCAAAGCGCCAAACGCAGATCTCGCTTGTGCTGGACCGCCCGCAAGACTACTCATACATCGGTCAAGATACGCTCAAATCCTCGTCAAACCCCTCCTGAAGCAGACGACTTCTCTCACGCTGTCGCCGTAACGATGGCGACGGATACATCCTACAAGGACGCCCTCCTCACTCTGCTATTGAAGGCCTCTGCGCTCTCCTTTGGCACCTACACCCTCAAATCTGGTCGCATATCACCATACTTCTTCAACTCTTCCCTTTTGCACACTTCGTCCCTCCTCGACGCACTTGCACGTGGGTTTGCTTCAGTGCTGACCTCGCCTCCCTTTTCCCTCCCGCTTGGTACCGAAGAGGCTGGTGCGGAAGCCGATGGCTCATTTGCCCCGCACTTTGACGTGGTCTTTGGGCCGGCGTACAAGGGGATCCCATTGAGCGCGATCGTCACTCGCGAGCTATTCTTTGCTGGGAAGAATTTTGCGGAGGTCTCATACGCATACAACAGAAAGGAAGCAAAAGATCATGGAGAAGGGGGCATCGTCGCTGGAGCACCGCTCAAGGGCAAGCGAGTGATCATTGTCGACGATGTCATGACAGCTGGCACTGCCCTGCGAGAAGCCATTTCCATCATCAAAGCTCAGGGCGGTGTTGTGGTTGGGGTGGTCCTGCTTTTGACCAGACAAGAACGCGTCTCCGATGCAGAGCCGAGAAGTGCGATGAAGGTTGCCGAGGACGAGTTAGGAGTGCCTGTGAGGGCGGTGCTCACGTTCGAAGACTTGCTCGAAGCTATTCAAAGTGGCAAGGTCGAAGGAGCCGGACAGAAACAGCTCGAGCTAATGAAGGCCTACCGGGAAAAGTATGGGAGCAAAGACTGAACCCAGGGGTGTTTTTGATGGGCCACGGCGCTCTCACACTTGCTTTGATAGACCTTATGAATGGATGACTCGGGACTGGTGCATTGTCATAACAACTGATCTTTCTCAATTCAGGGCTATTGAAGACACTCTTCCTCCCGAAACGAGGCATGTGGCATGGGTTTCCTATTTCTTCATCGGCCCAGGACTGGACTATTGCCATGTACGCCGTGACCGTGGCCGCCGTCAAACCACTCTGCACCCGCGTCCCTGGCAAATTTACAATTCATCCTTCCCTGTGCCATCATCATTCACAGCCGTTGATTTCACACACCCACCGCCCGCGCCGTCCTTCTCACAGCCACCGGGACAAGGCCCATCCTTATACTGCCACGTGAACAGCGCCTCTGTCTCGTTCGCCAGCACATCCCCGATAATGCGCGTGCGGTGCGCCGCCAGCCTGCCGACGCTGCGGGAGAAGATCTCCCTCGACCGAATGATGATCTGAGGCCAGCCGTGCGAACGCAGCGTCGGGATCGACGTGGAGAAGATGTATTCGCGGAACCCGCCGTAGAGGATGGCGGACGAGCACTATTCCAAACGCGCCCGAGGGATTAACCCAGGTCCCCCGCCACAGGTCAGAAGAGGAGCCTTATCGCAAAGCAAAATTAAAGATGACCCCTCTCACAAGAAAGGATTGTGCAATTCAGAGAGAGAGGAGACGGAAGCAGAGATGTGACGGGGTGGGGGGGAGCTGGAAGGACTGCTTTGCTTGCTTGCTTGCTTGCTTGCTTGCTTGCTTGCTTGCTTGCTTGCTTGCTTGCTTGCTTAGTTTCTTACCATAGGACATGCCTCCGCCGTGGTATACAGGCTCAAATCACCCAGTGCTTTGATGGCGTCGGGTCCCGAGAGCTTGTACGGGCCATCCGGGTCGGTCAGGATCCGGCTGCAGTTGTTGATGGCCGCGATCTCGCCTTTTGATGTGCGTGCTTCGTCAGCAACTATCCCTTGTATTTCATATCGCCCTTTTTTTTCATGGCACCTCCACTTCGCTTTCTTCTTCACCGCCCTCGCTCTGTGAAACGCCTGGAGATCTTAAAGTAGTGGATAGACAGAAAACAAAAAGACAAAACAGATTGGACATAACAAAAACCCGCCCTCCGCCTCCGCCTCCTCGACAGAGGAGAGCCACAGCCCCATAACCACTGAGAGACAAAGTACAGATCCCACTCGGGCACTCACCATGCAACGTCGGGTTCCCATCCCTCACGAGCGAATTCGCGCCAATACACACCTCCTCGCCCAGGTGGTCGATCTCGCTGGCTCCCGCACCACCCGTGCCCTTGCCGGACGCAGTGTGGTTCACGATGACAGAGCCAAAGGCCGCAAACGGACAAGGACTGCCGTCGTTGATGTTTGCTAGAGCTGCCATCGCCCGGCGCATCCAGTACGCCCGAGCCGAGAAGCGGACAGGGTCGGCGCCTGGGTCGTTGCCCCCTCCTCCTCCAGCGATATAGCACGGGTTGGCAGGATCATGGAGATCACAACCAGAGGATACGGCAGAACTTGAGACAAAGAAGAGAGGGAGTGAACAGATGAAGAATGATAACTGCATGATCCTGGACGCTGTAGACGTGAATGATGCTGGCATTCAATGTGGCAGTGCTGACCCTGACTTGACTCTGCTTGCTCAACGATTGATTTCCAAACAACATACGATGTATATAATATATTCGAGATAGAAGCAGAAGAACCACCTTTGAAGGTAAGAGCGCTCATGTCCGATTAACAAATAAATCCGCCCCTTGTGCAGTGTAATACAAGGTGCCCTCATCCGAGTTCCTACCGATAACGCTGCCATTGTTCTGAACAATCCTCAGTCGATGTCTTCGACAGCCTCACCTATCTGTGCGAGGTCGAGATGCTCAACGACACCAGCCCCTGTCACTTGCTGCACCCTCAGGCCAACACTATTCGAGGTTTTACTCATTCCCACGTTAGGACTCCACACAGGGACCAAGTCCAACAATCTCGACGTGAGCCTCGACCGCGTCTCATCGGAAAATATTGACGGTGTAGACACACTGCGCTGCGTGCGGGCTTTCTGGCTTTGCAGTTTCTGCGTTCCTTTCTTGTGCTTAACAACTGCACTGGCTGGCATGGACCGTACAGCAAAGACACTGGGCCACTCAACCACTTTCAGGGCCAATTTCTGTATCTCGTTTGCGACGTAGCCAGGCGAGACTAAGACGATCTTTTGACGGGCGACCGGATGATCACTATACTGTTCAAGCATCCGGGCAAATCCATTGTCAAGGCAGGCAGCGACAAAGATTGCGTGACAGTTCGGCGTCGAGAGATAGAGGTGGAAGTTTTCTAGAGCCGTGGACAATTAGTCGCGATGAACTTTCGGTCTTGATGGTAGGTATACCTCTGATTTTGTCATCTGCCCTCTCTTTCCCCCTTCCTGCATCGAAGAAATCGAACAGAGGGATTTTCTCGGTGAACTGGACCGCAAAATCGGCTACGGCTACACCTGTATGGCTCTTTCGAGGCCGGGGCTGTCTGACGCCACCCCCAAAGTTGATAAAAACGCGAGTGACAACCTTGGATGTTATCGGAATAGTTCCATTCTGATTCAGAATGTACTTGATGACTTCGTTACGGATCCTCGTGGCAGCTATGGCACCTGGGCCAGTCGCATCAGCACAAGCGGTTGTTGAAGTGCCTCCTTGTCCAGTACCCTGATTGCAGATATCGCGAGCCCACTGTTTGAGATTTCCTAGATTAGCGAATCGCACAGTACAAGATGCCACGGATAAATACTCACAGAGTAGGCGTCACCGTCCACCAGCACGACAACAAATGGTTGCGCTGGTAGAGGGGAATCTTGCGCGAGGGTGACCAAAGGGTCCTTGACTGGCTCGGTGTTTGTGGTGCATCTCAGGTATTCTAGATCCAACTGCATATCAACCAACCTCTCCTCAAGCCTCCGTGCATGTTTAGTCATGGCCTTCAACGACGTCGTCTCAGTATTGAGTCTTGCCTGCAGCTGACCAGCAAGGACAGACTCGTTTCTCAGGCTGGTTTGCAGGCTCTTCGCTTGTGCCTGAAGGGCTACGCGCTTTTCTTGCTCCTCCACCAGCAAGCGCCGCGCTTCGTCGCCCCTTGCCCGCGCAGAATCCAGCGAGTTGCGGAGCTCGTATAGTTCTATGCGATATTTGTCAAATTGAAGGTTTGCTTGCGCACAAAGCTCATTGGCATATTCGAGCTGAGCTCGCAATGCTTCCACCTTGTCTGCGAGGGTATCAAAGTCCATATCCTCGATGGGCTTCGTATCTAGACTGGTCGTCGTTTGAAAACGCGTGCTATCCCTGACATCAGGCTTACTGATGAAAGGTGAGAGCCAGGAAAGAAGTGCCATAATGGTAGCGAATCTGGACGCCGAGGAGCAGTAAATGAGACTCAGTAGCCGTGTGAGTCAAGTCGATTTCAGCGTTCAAGAAATGCCTAAATTAAAGACAAACTTGAGCAGAGTGAAGGGGGCACTTTTTCGATCGTATGATCAGAAGAGAGAACAAGGACGGATATGCCTTCATCCCTCCGCCTTAATCCGCAGAACGAAATAGAAACGCGAAACCTTGTGCGACATAGGTCTAATGAGTATGTATAGAAAGAATGGCCATAAAAGTGAAGGACAATTACACGTTAGCAGATATCAACGAGGAAAAGAATGTCGCCAGATCGAAGGGATAGAGAGACGATTGTATAGTAGTGGCAAGATGAAGAAAAATGAAACAGTCATAACAATCGAGGTCGACGACGCAGTCAGAGCCAGTCACGCCGCTCCTTGTTGTGAATAGGTGGGGTAGGAGCGACCGGAAACGCGGGGATATGTGACTTCGGTGGCACGTGATATCAAGAATCAAATGCAAGATGCAGTACTGTGTATTGACATCTGTATCAAGTACAACTTAGTCTCGGTGTGTGCAGCAGCAAAAGTGCGCTGACTCCGATAAGGCGGCGGAGGCGTTGTTTGCAGGGCTTGGATCCCTGCAGCACGCAACATATTCAGTCCTTGGTCATCGACCTCCTGAGAGTGATGGCTTAGAATCCTCGCCCAGTGGCGGCCATTCTCTCCAGGCTAGGCACGGCATTGAAATTGCCAACACCCATTCCTCCGTTGATGTTCCCTGATATGGCGCCCATGACGCCTGCATGGATTGGCCGGTTGCCCATGCTCGGTTGTTCTTCTAGGTCCTCATATCTCAACGTGTAAATGCGTCGGACCTTCTTCCAGAGTTTGGTGTCCCACCAGATGTAGTAGCCTTGCTCGCTCACTTTGTCGTCCAGTAATACTGGACTAGGTGACGCGTCGTCCCTGGTGAGCCATTGCTTCTCCCGCATGTGGTACCGCCACTTGCGCGCGACTAACTCTTGAGCCACCAGCATTTGTATGTAATCCCGAGGCATGGTGTAGAAGATGAAGAATAGCGTTTCGTCCACAAAGCCAGTAATCCGAGTTGACAGTGGTGCTATTTTCTTAACCGTGTAGCAGTCGGGAATGGTGTACTCCGAATCCAATGGCCGCAACGGTGTCGCATTGGGTTCGGCCCACGGTCCTGGATAAGACGATAGCAAGGGTTCCTGCGAGCCCATGTTGATGCCGAGCGTTGACAGGTCCACTCCCCGCATCAAACTTCTTGCTGCTGGACTGGCATTGTCCTGTTCTGCAACGTAACCTTTCATCCCGAACTTGTCTTTTTCACTCATTCCCGCGAAGATGGACTCGTGGTCGGCTCTAGTACCAATTTCCCGATCTGCGAACATATCCCGCGGTTGCAATCCTAACGACTGGGACGGTGAATCCTGTAATTGCGTCCGTGCATCTTGTCCTAAGAATCTCTCATGGCCTATGGCCGCGTTGATACTCTGGGATATGGGTGACCGAGCTAAAACTTATCCGTCAGCAATCCGCGCTCTCACACTAGAGCGGCCACCATACAAATTTGTGTCTGCCCGGACGGCGAAGTAACTCTGCTGGGGTCACCAGGCGTGCTGTCCCCCGGTTGAGTTGGTTGTCGCTGCGTAAATCCAGGAGGTCCACTTGGGGCTTGACTTGTTCGTCGTACGGGCTGGGAAGAATCCGAGAACTCCATTGGAGCATTCCTTGAGTAGGTATCAGTAGGGTAGAAGCCGTCTCGACTGGCATTCACCGGTTGCTGTCGAGAAGAAATGTGAGTTCGCGAGGCTTGCATTTGCTGTCTTTGCGCCTGTTCGTTCTGAGGTGGCCCAGTCTGCCAGGCACTGGACCCCACACTGTGACCCTGTGATTGCAGGCTGCTGTTGTTGAGGCTGGGAAAGGAAGATGCGGATAGATCAAGCTGAGTATTGGCCCTCGAGTTCATAGCTTGTGCCCAGCTGTCGGGTGCTACAGCGTCTCGAGCTTGTTGCGAGGGTGCGGGAAGCCCACTTTGCCCCCAAGTTGCTTGCGTTGCGTTAGGTCTTATCCTTGAGATTTGTCAACGGACATACCAGGCTTACCCCCAACCATCCTGCCGCTGCTAGCGGCCCGGCCTTGTGTGTGTTGATTCATGTTGTTCACTGTAGGAATCTGTCGTCCTTGTCCTAGAGAAGATTAGTTAGCACGTGGGCCAATGCAAGGTACAGAAAACAGCAATGTTAACGAGCTATTTAGAGAATGGTCCACTTGGACATCAGTGGTCCACGTGACCTGGTAATCGTATCCCTGCGGATTCATTCTCAACTGTAGAGGAGGCAGAAACCCGGATCTGAGCTTCCGAAGAGAAAGAGAGCTGTGTGGCTGCCGCGCTGCTAAACAGGCGTTCAGACGTCCACAAGCAGTTGTTGATGTGGCGCGGAGTGAACGTCTGCATCGATAATCATGCTGTCCATGCACATATTTCAAGGAAAGCCGTAGCATAGGACTGATGCCATTGTGTGTGGGCTTGGTGAATCTCTCCACGATTGCGGCTATGGCCTGACTGTGCCTCTTGACTCCGCGGAGAGATTGCTTCATTCAAACGCAGCATATGCATTCATTCATCGTTGGTCCCAACATGCACCAAAATTGGCACGGCCTTGCCGGAAATCCATCGTAGCTTTGGCTGATAGTCCAACTTTTGGGTATTTTTTTGACCGTTGAGCTCGTGCCAGGTAACACTTCATCCCGAGCTGAGTGTGCTAACCGCCCCCTCTTTCAGTCCATTCATCATCCGTAGTCCTCATTCTGACAGAGAATCCCATTCTATAGATGGTCCTCGTTTCCCGCCCTCCATTGAGAATAAAAGTGAACGCAGTTTGGAGGGCGAGGGAGCGGGAAACCCACCTTGTCGATTCATCTCGGTCTTTGACTTGACAGTCTGGACCGACTCCAGATGCTCTCGCTCCGAGGAGAGTGATGGCTCGTTGCGCAAATCTCAGTTCGGTCGTGTGTATTGGCGTACGATTCGAGGGAATGGAGGCGAGAAAGGTGCAGTTGTTCACCAGTTGTTGTTCTCAGGGTCTCTAGAGGCTGAGGGCGCAGTTCAGATTCAACGTCCCTGGCCTTGGCGCGACACGGAGCCTCATGTGATAAACGCCGATGACACGAAGCACGAGAGATTCATTAATCGCTTCAGAGGACCTGCTACTTGGCACTGCGATAGAAGTAAGATGGAAGAGCTCGATGATTTTCGACAGAATTGCTTTGTCTACATTGGTCTTTTGTTATCAAATTCTCTCAAATCCTTTTGGCCCCAGCATTCCCCATGCTGTCCTGCATCTAATCATCAAGAACGTGAGCTATGAAATGCCCGCAGGTTGATCGGACCGGACTGACGCCTTCTGCACATGGTTCGTTCGGAGAAGACCATGCTCAGCCAAATAACGCCATGCTCATTGTCCGAGAAAATGATTCACAGCAACAATCCAATGGCGAGTTCGACATTACCACCTGTCTGTCTCAGCGCAGCGATCGCCTCCTCTCTTGTAAATCCCAGCTCGGTTACCTGTGCTATTGATTCTGCGGTGATTGGTCGCGATTCTCCAAAGTTGCCGGAACCTGGCTCAGGTTGAGATGAAACAGCTGTAGAGGGAGAGCCTGATAATGACGGTTGATTCGCAGTGCTGACGCTTGCCTGACCGGTCCCTGACCCTGGTTGAGCTGACCCCGCCGATGCTCCTGGCATGACAGTTCCGGTCTTTGCGCCAACTGTGCTGCCACCAGGGCCTTCAATTTTGGGCTCACTCTCCAACACATCTTCCATCATCTTCGGGATTTCGCTTTCTGGTAAGAAAGGAATCTCATCGTTTTCAATGCGGAGACAGTTTTTCTTCAGATCGATGCACATCTGATGTCGCTTGAGCATGTCAAGCCCTAGTAGCAGGTCTACATCTTTGCCTTCCATGACTGTGAAGCTGCTGGCGAGGTTGTACTGTCCAATTTCGATTTCGGCCGAATGAACTCGACCCAATATTTGGGCGGTACCTACACCTTTTGCAATACCCCCAAATCGTTTGTCGACCAGCCGGAGGATGCCACACCGTTCGGCAGCTGACGGGGACATGATGGTCGTTTGTGCTCCTGAGTCCACGAAAGCTTTGATGGGATGGCCGTTGACGATGACATCGATATAGAGCATGGTGACCTTGCCGAATGCTATAAAAGACGAGCGTCAGGCTAGGTCGGCCGGGGGAGTAGATCTCTGACTTACCTTCCGGAAACTCTTCCATTGCCTTCTGTAGGTTTTCTGCGACACGTTCTTGCCGTATCATTTCTTCAATTTTCTGTTGTGCATCAACATTGAAAGGATCCGCCTCTAGAAGCGCAATCTGCTCTTCTTTCTCTCTCTGCATCTGCTCGTTTTGCCTCAGCCTCTCTTGTAGTAGATCGTGGAATCTCTCTTGATCCTGAGCCGCAGCCGCAAGTTCGGGATCTTGTCTCCGAAAATCGGCCATGATGGCAGGGTCTCCTAATATCCGGGATCGCAATGGCTCAGAGTGGTTGAAGTTTCTAGCCCTCTCCGTTGAGGGTTGGCCACTGGATGTACCTTGAGCGGTTCGTCGTCTTGGAGGATTGGCCTGGATTGCCATCGGTATTATACCACCTTCCTGGACGTTAAACTGTGCAAGCGTCATGGAAGTGTTTGTGACTGCCATCCCATCTCTTAAGAATATTTGGGCAGATGGAGGAACCCCAATCTCAGCTTCGACGAAGGCTTTGATGTCATTCAGGGTCATATCGGGGCCCACATCGAGAGTGATGAGATCTACTGGTAGCTCTCTGTCGGAGGATACAATGGTTATGGATGTGCGCCTGGGGAAAGTCAGTCCAGAACAGCGGTGACAATATCACCGGATGGCTTGCACCTACATGATGGTGGTTGGATCTTATGACAAGGTGTGTCAGGGGTGATGTGAGACTGGGGTGGGCTCTCAAACGTCTCTTGGAACGGGACAGGGACGAGCTGAATCCAACGCAAAGATAAGAGAAAGAATTATCCTGTGGCACAGAAAAGGTGAAGACGTTGTAAAGAACAAAATATTACCCTGTGGATGAGTTGCAGAATAATGAACCGCTTAGGCATATTTGCGATGACGCACCCGGGGTGGCCAGGCCGCTTCACTTGCTGTATCCAGACAAGACTCCAAGTGGAAGAGCCACTGCATTCAAGCATACTCGATACCTTGTATTTGATTGTAAGTAAACCCTTGGGCGGCATGGTGGGGTAGAGGGTATGTAGCCAGGTACGTATCAAGCACAGTCCAGACCCTACCAGAGCGATATCTAATTCAGGTACGTCGTGCATACGGTATCTAGGCACCTAGGAGTCGGATGGTCCGTGCCTTGTTGATGCCAATAGATAGAATGAGAATCCTCTTATATTTTTAATATGTTCTGGGGTACTTGGGTCCTAGCTGTAGCTTGCAGATCGGGTGTGGAGAATTTATTATTACTTGCTCACAGGTAAAACTTACCTACCTAGGTACCTCGTACATAGATACAGAGGGCTTGTAGGGGTCTAGACACCCTTGTGCCCCCGTTGTAACCCCCACTGTGTGCCTGCATCGCCTGTATTCCTGCTAGAGTGGGAGGAGCAAGAGAGCCACTCGCGCCCGCCAGCCCCTCGGAAGGCGCCCACGGTGCCTCATTGCCCACCTGCCTTGACTGCCCTAGGGAGAGTCGCGTGCCATGTGCCATGGCGATTTCTTCATCTCACTTCCAACTACTTGTACTACTGAGCCAGTCGCACTACTTTTTGACACTTCAACTTCTCCATTAATCGAGTTGTCTGAATCATTTTTTAGAGGTTATCCCTCTTCAGTTGCACTGGCAATCTTGACATAACGATTGTACCATTCTTCATCTGCCCCCTTGACACGTCCGTGTAAGGTCAGTTGGAATTTGAATTTTCACCTCACACCATTTCTTGGAGCTTTTTCTCACTCTCTCTACATTTTTGTTTCGCCTGCAGTCTTATGACGGCGCGTTCTTGGAGCTTCCCAATCAAACAGCCAAGTCGTCTGCCAGCGAACCGGCGCGAATTCAGTTGCTGTCCAATCCTCCCTCGAGCGGCATCTCACAGTAGAAGTCGCCTGTTTATCCGGTTGATAACTGCTCTGAACCAGTAAAAATGGCGCCAAACCAGGATCCATCGAGCCAATTAGAGAAATCGACAAAGCCAAGGTCCGCCAAGGTCGACTCCAGAAGCGGTCAGCCCTCACAAAACGAAGATGGCTTCATCGACATCCATCCCGAGGACGTGGAAATGCAAGACAGCGATTCGGATGCTGTCGCTCCACCCTCGAAACCATCGTCTGACCCTTTAGAGTTACAGCGGATTAGTCATTCCGACAAGGCTGAGGAGAATCCGGAGGAAGAAGACGAGTCTGAGGAGGACGACCGTGATTTCATGGCCAACCACCCTTTATTGAACATGCTGACTGGGCGGTTGGGGGCACGTCGACGGGGCTCTTCACACAAATGGGATCGTCTTCATCCTGAAAACCAGGCTTTGTCTATATCAAGTGTGGACCAGTGCACCTCACTTGAGGAGGCGGCTTTCCCACCAGAGGAAAGGGCAACTCGAGAAAAGGTATGGCTAAAACAAGCCTCGTCCTCATGCGAGCCATACTACCTGAAGTACTTTTTTATGCCGATACTTGGTCATTCTGCTGACAATGGCCTGTAACCAGTTTCAATACCGTCTGACCAGGTGTCCCGAGTTGAGTTTAGGGCTGTTCACCCAGCCAACCAAAGCAGAGTTGAAGGACTCGTCGACACCGCCTCAGCGACGCTTAATAGCCCATGTAGTTTCAACCAGAACTCCGGCACCCTGTGTTACTGAGGCTTCGATGGGCGTGCCCTCAAACTGGAGGATCAGGAGATCATCGCTACCAACCAACACCGATAAGGAGCCCGTGGGCCATCAAGATATGGGTGGAACTATCTGTGTTCATTCTGTGGCAGTGGCACCCGAGTTTCAGAGAATGGGTCTGGGTTCGATCTTGATGAAATCATACATCCAACGTATGAAAGATGCCAAGATCGCAGACCGGATAGCTCTACTTGCCCACGATCATCTCGTTCCATTCTACAAAGGACTTGGATTTGAAAACATGGGACCAAGTACAGTGACATCTCATGGCGGAAATTGGAATAATATGGTGATTCTCCATATCGATACTCTATATCATACTGGGCTAACCCTGAGTCAGATACTCGAGTTTGATCATGAGGACGACGACTAGACGACAGTACGCCGCTGAGAATCCACAAGATGGCAAATTTACTTGTCATCCCTCGCTGGTATTGCCCTGAACCGCTCCGGGGCTCAGATACTGAAAAGCACGCGCTCGAATCAGCTGATGAACGGATGTTGTGAATAGTTGTACTTTGGCCCTTGCTTATGGCGTGCGGCAAAGTAGGGCTGGGAAAGATGTCCATGAAAGCGGATGTGTAGATGACACTGACGACGCCAGATGAGATTGAATGAGAGTACCTTGGCTTGAATTGCGCGTTGTCGCTGCCTAGGACGTGTTGTGGTGTATGTGTACCGACACTTACACCTCAGAGGATGAATCCTCAGTCTCATTCCTGGGGGAATATGTGGTTAGCATGGGATTAGCATAGGATGATTCTATTTGTGGCCTGGCCTGATATTGGGGGCACATGAAAGACAGCAATGTGTCATGGCCAAGCCTCGGCTACAAACGCAGTTGATTTTTATCTAGTGACAAAATTCCTTTGCTTCAGAAAGTGCAGGGGGATCGTTTCTCACTCGTGATACTCATCGCTCTGGTTGTTGACTGAAACGGCAGAGAGGTGCGTGGATAGAGAGGCAGAAATGTGGGTTGAAAGTAAAGCCGAGGGATGAACAGGTGGAGAGCCACAGGGCTTCACCAATGACACTGGATCTAATTGCAACTCAGTCCGCTTCTTGTTACTTCGCTTCCAAACTCCCGGTTTGTTCCTCGCCTCCATCATCGCCCGATGAGGGATGATGGATCGCAGGCCGGGCATTCCCACCGTCTGCAGGTGACGATATTGCTTCTTGAAACCTACTCCTCCTTCGGCCCTGATTCATATCTTCAAGAACATGTTCTATCTTCTCTGACATACTCCAAGTTCCCGTACTTTGCGCCTCCTCGGTTTCACACTCGATCGCCTGCCCAGTTTCATCCCTTCACCGAAACCCAGGATCTTCGCTTCTTGTCTGGCTCAGCCCTGCTGCATCTCGGAAATTCCTACCGAACTTGGCCCTACCATAATAATATCCGCCTGCGCCGCCCGCTGTTGAGTGTCGCTCCACGATTTCGAACCCAATCCAGGACGGTCAGGGTACGCTAGTCTGATCAATACGAGATACACATGGTCCTCTTGTGGAGAGCTCAAACAAAAGAGGGTTAAGAGTGCGGAGGGACCTCACGGAAGAGTGCGGGTGAAGGGCGTCTACAGTGTACAGGGACAGGCACGTCCAGGCCTATCGCAGCCTGCGTTCACCAATTCCTAATCGGTTACTGAGCATCGGGTCACTCTTTTTAAGGTCTTGACCCTGGGTGCGTCGACAAACCGTCAACGACATCTCTGATCTACCATCCGACATCGCCAGCTCGAGACCAAAGTCTGTAGACACCATGCCTACCAACCGACCGTTCTTCGCCAATTTCTTTTCGGCCTTTCGAGCCCGTACGAGCCCGGCATTCCAGGCAAAATCCAGCTCAACCTACGATGCCGTGTCGCCCGGTTCGCTTGTGGCAGCCGCACATGTTTCTACGACCACAGCAACAGTCACCTCGTCAAGTACAAGAACAATAGCCACAAAAGGTCCGGGAGAAGCCTCAACCCCCTCATCACAGCAAGTGCAGTCCAAACCCAACTCAACAACACCTCTCCCTTTCTCGTCTAACCCAAATTCACATCGATACGCACCACCTATGTCCAAGTCGCCAGGGACGAGTTCGCCCGGTCCTCATGGAACGCATACAACCACCAATCTATCAATGTCACCTCCCGGCACGTCCACACCGATGACAAGAGGGCGACAAAGACGTGGCAGCGACAGCTCCAATGCGTCGGGGGGCTTCATTGATGCCGTTGGTCCGGAAAAGTGGTATATCGGCGGCCGGAATGCAGCGGGCGAAGAGACCTTTTACAAACTTGGCTTGGTAACAGGTGGAACAGGAAGAAGAGTTCGCAGCTTAGACCGCTTGAGTCTTTGAATTGCCAACGGTCAAGGCGCAGCTATCGGAGAGAAAGCAAAGACCAGTCTGAATGGCAGAGCGAAGCTGGTCATCTTCAAAGCACAAAGAAGCGATGTAATTGCCATCTATAAATCCTCAACGCTTCACAATCGACCCAACTAGGTATGATTTTGTCGTCATTTCTCGCGTGCCCCGGACAACTGTATGGCAGAACGGAGAACCAGAAAATATTTCATCCTCTGAATCCGGGAGAAGGCAGGCGGAGCAGGGAAATACGTTGAAGAGATGGTCAAACCACTCCCTCAAATGAGGGCGTACAGAGCAAGGCGTCAACGGCGTTAGAATTCGCATAAAAGTGCAGCGGCCAGGTGCACATGGACCAAGTCCTTATGACATTGTATTTATGGCCAGGGAGGTGCACTGATCAGCTCTCTGAGCAGAGCTCTGATTTGTTTGAGCATCAACTGGCATGGTACATACCTACCTACGGAGTATACGGAGTAAACGGAGTAAAGATATGCAGGTCCTAGTACTGAGAACTTATGGCTCGTACCTAAAATAGAACAAACAGACGACGGACTCGAGAATCTTTCTGTACCAGTTTTGCTCTCGCCTTGTATCTGGCATGATGGCATTTCCATAGCGAGTGTCGTCTCTCCTGGACCGGAGGGAAAAGGACTACGTCGTACGAGTATGCTACCCTCTCTGGTTACATACTAGTTTGGCACAACACAAACACCCAAATTGGCAGCGTCATCAAACACACCGTGAAAGGATCTAATGAGAATTTAACAATAATTATGATGATCATAATCAATCATCTCCTCCAGGGAACCGATGCATGAGGAAAATCTGATTATGGCATGTTGCATATGCACATGGCGCAAGGTGCACACGTCTCTATAACCCCCTCAATCTGGCACTTGAGGGTCACCTACCCTAACAGCCTATCAAGCCTATCTAGTACTGGCAATGCTCTAGGAAATAATGACATACTTCTTACATATTTGGGGGTGGGAAAGGGGGGCACCGTGCCTACTCGGAGGGGCCACCTCAGCGCCCGCGATTCGCCCCCCGAGGCTCCGACTCTTCTCCGTCACGGCCGTGTGATCCTCCCTCGACCAATACGAGGAAATCATGCAGCTGTGTGATGCTGGCGTGCTACAAACCCCTTCGCTCAGTGTGCTTTTTCTTCTGGCCTCGGGCACAGAGGAATGAATTCTCAGCACCAAAATCTGACCTCCTGCATCACCCGTATTATACTCCAGCCTCACTCGGTTATCGACGATTGAGGCCAATGCCACCTGCAGTCCATACCTCGTCCCGAGTACCTACAGAGATCCCTACTACCACTAAATTCACCTAACTTTCCTTCGGACCTTTTCTCCGGCCGCAGACTCCGCTTACCCTGCAAAGGGGCTCGCAGCGCCTTGGTAAACGGTCAGTGCTTGTGCATCGAGCCTAGTCCCCCTTCCAGCTTGTTTCAACTCGTATTCGCACCCTTCAACGCCACCTGCAACGCGCCGCCCCATTAGATACACAAGGCGTTTCAATAAATCCAGTGCTCGCACAGACAGTACGTCCAAGGGGCACAGTGTGGAGATCTTGTTTGGCGGATGTAAAAGGAACCCAATTTTTTTTCTATGTACAACAAACGACAGGTCTTGCAGGGAATTTGCCGCACACTTAAATCAAGCGAGAAAGCCGAAAAGCCTAACAGGGAAGATTTCGAACCCAACCACGCTGTCGGAGGCTCCTAGTTGCAGCGCAGATCTTGGTGCCAAAGACCCTCTGGCGTCCCTGACGGCCGCCTAGTGGCTGCCTTGCCGGCGCTCCCCGTCTTGCGAAACCCTCACCTGGCGCAAGCCGTCGCAAAATCCGCTTCAAGTCGGATGCGAGCACAAGAACAACAGGCCCAGTTACGATTCCAACTTGACTGTCACTGCGCTTGGAGTCGGTCGAAGGGGTTGCTCTTGGGGGGCGGTTACTCGCTTGTGGCACCGAGCACTGAGCCCTCGAGTCGCCCTCGATCCTAACAACCTCCCTCCGTACCAGACCCCATCCCTAAGCACCATGCTCAGTCATCCTTGAGCACCAGAAACCACCCGAACCCCAGGCGCGTTTTTCTTTGGGCTGCTGAGGTGCTCCTTCCAAGTCTCGACAAGTCGCATCTCGTCAGTACATGAAGGCCAATGTGCCTACGCCGAATTCCGCATAGCCCTTCTCTGCACGTCGTTATTATTCATTGTAAATTCGATCCCGTGTCAAGCAGGTTCCCCCCTACCGTAGGGATCAGGTTTCATCATTTTGCCATTATTTGTAACCAGCCTCCATCTCAGCGGTTCCAAAGTTTGGACGTTCACTCTGGCTTCTGGGATCGGTCCTTTGGTAGCAAACTTAGACATGAAGTCTCCCTGATAAGCGAAAATGGTCTCTCGAAAACGCGGCGCGGAGGAACATCCTGATGGTGTCGTCAGGGCGGCGAGCAAATCATGTTTTGCCGCCCCGCTAACAAACTCTTTGACGTCGGATCACCTCAGTCCTCCTCCAAGTCCAACCTCGAGTTGTAGTTGCCAAAAACCTGCAGGCATGGAACGGATCTTCGCTATGTCGCCGACTCCGACGGTTGTCCTGGACAAAGATTTACGAATAGTCATGCTGTCGAATTCCTGGCAAAAGCAGGCTCATATCTCCCTGGACAAAGTTCGTGGCAAACCCTTTCTGGAGACGATCGGCGACTTGCTCTTACCAACAGATGCCGTCACCACCACCCAACTGATCCAGGGTGCAATCGCGAGCCGCGAAGAGCAGCGCTCTGAACCCTTACCAGGGCTCAAGGCTTCCAGTTATTGGCGGGTCCGAGTGTCGCCGATTTTTGACGAGGACGAACTCCTCTACGTAGTTGTAGAGGGTCTCGACGCTACGGAAGAGGTCGACAGGACAAAACAACACCTCGCTCAATTGTCATCGGCAGAGACATATCGCCTCTTGGTTAGCACCCTTCACGATTATGCCATCTTCATGCTTGACGCCGAGGGCTGTATAGC